ATGATTCCACATCACAGCGGCCCTCGGCCTCAACATCAGAACGGCCCTCGGCCTCAACATGACTCTATGTCATAACGGTTTTTGCCTTACATGATTTCACATCACCAAAGGCCCTCGTCCTCAGCGTGATTCTACATCAACAACGGCCCTCGGCCTCAGCGTGAGTCCATAATGCACATTAATTAGTAGTGCATAATTATATGTTTTTCGGTTTGATTTATGTTGATTGTTTGACGTTTTATTTAGTTTGTAAACATTTATGTGATTTCAGTTGTAATTGTATTTTAGTCTCTTTTTTTATAAGTTGTAAAGTATAGTTAGGATTTGTGGTGTTGGAAAGGAAGACTTTGAAGAGAAGAAAACAAGAAATTTGACTGCCCAGGAGTAAAACCCGATCGGGTAGAAACCCCCACCCGGTCGGGTATGATTTAAATGGAAAATGTTTTGATCTCTCAATTTTGGTGAAGATTTCAAAAATGTCTTTATCCTTTTCAATTTTATGAGTTTCCCTCGAAGTTTTTAGAACTGTTGGGGGTACCTCAAAGAATGATAAGGATAGATATTTGACCTTGAAACACGGTTCATCCTCTTCTTTGACCAGCTCGAGCTCCGTGTCTCTTTCTTCTTCTACTTCTTCTGGATTTTGGATCTCCTCTTGCATTTCCTTCTCATTTGTCAATGTGATTGCAAATAAAAGTTTGCTGTTTAGGATCACATTCTATTTGAGAGGAAAGTTTTCCCGAATCCCTTGCTTCAAACCTACTCACGGCTCCGGCTATTTGACTCACTTGAGATTCCAAGTTCAAAATGCTAGACTTGGTCTCATTTTGGAATTGCACCATGTTTTGTTGCATGGTGGTCACGCTGTTAGTAAGAGCCCGAACCATGTCCTCCGTAGACATGTTAGAGTTGGAGAATGGATCATACCTCATGTGAGGTACATAATTAATTTGTGCGAGGTATTCTTCTTGGAGTTTTGGGCAAAAATCCGCAATATGCCTGTGAGACATACAAATATCGCAGGTCTTGGCACCTTGAGTTTCTGAGCTTAAGATAAACTCCTTTATGAGAGAAGCCAGAACGGAAATTTGACTCTCTAAGGATGATGTGTTGGTATCCATATACTCATGTAAGCTCAGAAAATAGAAAAGTAAATTTCTTTATATATATATATATTTTGTTTTTTATTTTTATGAGATAAAATAGAAAGAAAAATAATTGCCTTTCCCCGGCAACAACGCCAAATTTGACGAGCACTTTGTCACGGTGCGTCAAAATAAATCGATACTAGCACTTATACGTAGTATAGGTGAAGTATAGTTCGTATCCACAGGGAAATGAATAATTCTCTTTTTATAAAACTAGTAAATAAAGGGGGGATTTGGATTGAGTGATTTAATTTAATTAAAAACTAAGATGAACGACCTATATGAGATTTAATTCAAAGATAAAAAGGGCTTGACATTGCTACTTTCCACTTGTTGATATATTTTAGCCGATCATCGTTATATCTATAACTTATTCCCTCTTGAATACTCAATCGGGGAGTATATCCACTTCATCGAGGGTAGTTATTAACAACAACAGTTCATTAATAACCCTTACTATTAATCAAATATAGAACAACGCCTTATACCGGTTTAATAGTAGCATTTAATCTTTCTAACTCCTTGATGAGATCAATTGAGATTGATAACCTCAACACAACGGTTTCGGTTTAACCAACAAAATTAATCCCTCTTAAGTTTATTAACCACGACCGTGCATTAATAAACCGAAGTTACTTACTTGTGAAACCATCAACGATTAACCATCGGTTCGTTGATCGTTTCTAGTAATAATTAATATATGAAACAAAACTAGTTGATCCTTTAAGTAATGTTCAAAATATTAATATGAAATATGAGTAGGATTTAATTAATATTCAAGGAAGAATATTATTAAAGAAGATGAATCCTACTATAATTAATATCAAGATGTTAACTAATTGTCATCTTAGCAACACTCCACAACATTAATATAGAGGAAGAAAATACCATTCTAACTAATGTCGAGATTTAACCAATTGTCATCTTAGCAACACTCCCCAACATTAATATAGAGATGGTATTAAGGAAAGAACTATTAATTAATATTCAAGGAAAGAAGTTAAGAAAATAACTCACAACTTTAATAATCAACAAGCTTTCAAGAGCAACACCAAGAATGAAAATTTAGCTCCTCATTTGGAGACTAAACATGCTATAAAAATATAAAGAAATGCTATTCTAAACTGAGCTTAAGAGTATGGAAGAAGGAATGATGTTTAGAGAAGAAAAAATGTGCTATTTATAGGTGTTTTTCAACACCTTTGGCCGGGTACCCGACCGGGTCAAGTACTTACCCGACCGGGTCCGGTCAAAATAAGATAATCCGCCACGTTCTGGTGATCTTCGCACGTCATTTTGTCCCGGGTCACATCTGACCTGACCGGGTCAAGTAGGGGACCCGACCGGGTCCAGTGACTTTCTTGGCAATTTCGTCTGTTAAATCATACCCGACCGGGTGGGGGTTTCTACCCGGTCGGGTTTTACTCCTGGGCAGTCAAATTTCTTATTTTCTTCTCTTCAAAGTCTTCCTTTCCAACACCACAAATCCTAACTATACTTTACAACTTATAAAAAAAAGACTAAAATACAATTACAACTGAAATCACATAAATGTTTACAAACTAAATAAAACGTCAAACAATCAACATAAATCAAACATAAAAACATATAATCATGCACTACTAATTAGTGTGCATCAGTCCACATCACAATGGCCCTCAACCTCAACACAGACGGCCCTCGGCCTCAACATGACTCAACATCAGGACGGCCCTCGGCCTCAACTTCACAACGGCGCTCGGACTCAACGTCAGAACGGCCCTCAGCCTCAACATGACTCAACATCAAACGGCCCTCGGCCTCAGCATGACTCTATGTCATAACGGTTTTTGCCTTACATGATTTCACATCACCAAAGGCCCTCGGCCTCAACGTCATTCTACATCAACAACGGCCCTCGGCCTCAGCGTGAGTCCACATCACAATGGCCCTTAGCCTCAACATTAGACGGCCCTCGGCCTCAACATGACTCGACATCAGGACGGCCCTAAATATTCTAAATAGATACATCATGTCTAGACTCTAGTAGATGACTAAAAAAGGATATTTTTATTTGAGTATGTATGCAAAAAACAATAAACCCAGATTAGCAATATATTGACATATTAATTAAATCAAAATCAAGATAACTAACCTTCATTATTTTGTAGATTTGATGATGAAATGTTCAGAACATCTACATCTGCAGGTAATACACTCTCATTATCCATGGATAATCTTAGGTGTGCTTCGACGTGTCTGCATGGAGCCAGTGAAATTAATCGTAGTATTTGATGTTGGGTGTGTTTCGGAAAAAACGAAGAAATATTAATTAAATAAAATTAATAAACAAAATAGCTAAAAGAAAACAGAAAATAAGATGGAACAGATTTTAGCCAGAGCTCGTGCTACGCACGATGTCCTTAAAACGTATTCGTCGCCTCCCACGGTGCTAGGAGCGTTGCAACGACCGTTTCCCAGGATACGGTGGCTAACGAACGATCGTTTGAGCACACAAACGAAAGTTCCGGCGAACTGGAACACAACAAGAACACTAGGGAAATTTGGGAGTAGCTGGAAACGTTTTTAGCTCAAGAAAACGTGAGGAATGTATTGTGCAAACCGTGTGTTTGTTGCAAAGCACCTGCCAGCTATTTATAGGAGGATTTGTTGTGTGTTAAATGAGGTGTTAATGGACCTGAACGTTGGACATCAATGACCAGTCCGTTGGGAATTAAATCGTCCATGAACTGTCCATTTAACGCAGCATTAAAAGAGAAGAACGTTGGACATTAATTGTTGTAACGGACCAGAAGACCTTCTAATGCGAACAGAAGGTCTCGAGCGTCTCTGTTGCGAACAGAAGGTCTTGAGGGTCTCTGTTGCGAACAGAAGACCTCGAGGGTTTCTGTTCTGGACAGAACTCGAGCATCTCTGTTCCGGACAGAACTCCACCCCTTCTGTCACTGGGAAAAATAAAACGTTACGGGAAGAAACAAAAATTAGACCGTTGGATGATACCTTTAATCATCTATGATGAGGGATGATAGTTCTTCTTAGTCTAGGTATGTGCTCTGTTTTGATGAATAAATATGTCTCTTGTTCGAGGGATTCCATGGAGCATGCACATATTTTGAACCTAATAATAAAATATAATCACATTCCTGGTGTTATTTAAATTCTTCCACGTAAGATCCCTGTACGGATGATTTATGCGCTCAATAATTAGCCGCGAATAATGATAGTGGTGTTTAATTTATTTCCACTCAGAGTCCTTGTATGGTTGAATTACGTGCTCCATAATGAGCCCGTCACGGGTCTAATAAAATTTCTGGGACTAATAGTCCTATTTAGAGAATTAGAAGTATTTAGTCATATTAGTGCTTTTATGTTTATTGTTAGTTGTACATGGGACCATTAGCCTAAAAATTTGTGATGGAAAGTCAAAGAGATTTTGTCATTTTTGGTCCCTCGACTATTATGTCAATGACACTTTTGGTACTCGACTTCTAATTTTTCCATTTTTAGCCCTCGACTATAGTGGTAGAGACACTTTTAGTCCCCGACTTCAAGGTTTCCTATATTTAGTCCTTGAGTATTGTCAAATTTACACTTTTAGTCCTTCCATTATGATTTTAACACAATAAGGGGAGGACTAAAAATGTCACTATTATAATAGTTGGAGGACCAAAAGTGTCATTTTTATAAAAGTTGAAGGTCTAAATATTGGAAATTTTCTAAAACGGGTACCAAAAGTATCTCTAGCGCAATAGTCAAAGATTAAAAATGGAAAAAATGAAAGTAGAGTATCAAAAATGTCAATGACATAATAGTTCTTTAGAAGACTAAAATGGAAAAAACTCGAAAGTCAAATGACTTGTTGAATTGCTGTCTACGGGAGCCGCACAATCAACTTCCACCGCTACAGGGAATTGAACGTTAGACGTAAACCGGAATTCAACCCAAACACTTCGTTCAGGGAGAGAGAGCAGAGTTGTAGGAGCCCGGAGGAGGAGAGCGAGAAGACACTCGAGCGACACATAAACGAGAAGTTTTGCCTTGATTTGAAATTGAAAGTTGCTGGGAACGACGTCGTGCTGCATCCGCCTGGACCGCCCAACTTGCCACTGCGAGATGGCTGCAACGCCACCATATCTCGCGGAATTGCCATCATTTACTTTGCTTTTCCGCAGTCGATCTGTAATATCCCCGAATCCTACTTGAATTCAGCAGAAGAAGTTATTCTTGCTATTTTTATAGAGGGCATCACGTTAATTCGGGAATTCACTTTAAGAGGATGACCTCTGGAGCGATGTGGGGATTGGAGAGGTTAAGGAGAGGCGTAAAGATATTGTATTTCATGGTGGCGATGGTGGCTTCTCTGCTGGTGATATCTTCTCCTGTGCTGGTGGCCATAGGTGACATGATGGTGCAGTGCGTATTAATTTCGTGCTTCACGTGCATCAGTGGTTACAGTTTTCAAGAACATTTGCATATTTACGCATTCAAGAGTTCATTAACTGACATTCCTCTAGTTTCAATCATCAGATCTTTCGTCATCACCTGTATGTTGTCATCTGCACCCTTCATATTTTTTAAATGAATTTTTCTGAATTTTATTTTCATTATTTTGTGAAACTTGCGATAAGTTTATATGATTCATTGAACCCTCAGGATTAATGGCTCTTTTTCTTTCTCTTGTCACATTTTACTTCTTTGATAAATATGCAAATATTTGGTTGGTCCTTATGCCAAAAAAAATTATGTGCCTTAGTTTACTGCCTAACTAGTTATATCTTTTTTCTCTAATATGAAATTCTACTCAGATTGCTAATAAATTCAACTGTTTGGATCTTTATCCTGCTTATTATGTTTGTAAGGTCTGAACTGTCAAAGTAACACTGCTATTTGTTTTGATTTCATCATTTCAGGTGTGTATTCTTTGTGCAATGGCGCTTCCCTCTCTCACGAAACCTATCTTGGAGCCGTGACCTTTTGTTCAGTCATTTCAGTTCTTCTTCTTTCCATCAAGGCTTGTGTTTTTTCTGTTAATTCTTACCTGGAAGCTGAAGCTTCAATCTCCATCTCAAGGCAAAAGTTTCAGTTGAAGAGGTCATGGGGGATGCCGGTCTTGTTTCTCTCATCTGTGGTGTTTGCTCTTGGACATTCAGTTATTGCATACAGAACAAGTTGTAGAGCTAGAAGGAAACTCTTGTTTCACCGCATTGACCCCGATGCTGTATGTAGATATGATGCTTCCACTTCGTAGCTTCTACCTTAGTTGGAATTGCATATGATTCTCTAGTGTCCTTATGGGTATGTTTGGATGCCGGAAAAATACTAGGGAAAACAGTAAAATGTTGAGTGAAATTATTTTCTTGTGCTTGGCTTTACCTTGGAAAATAAAAGGGAATATCAATATGATTTATTATTTTTAACATTTACATGCATTTAGATTTCATAGTACTTATATAATATAAATAAATGAAAAAGTAAATAAATAGATTAAATGAGCTTGAACAAATATAATAAAGGGAAAAGTATAGAAAAGATACATGTGGTTGAGCCCATTTTCAAATAGGGTCATGTGTAATCTGTTTCATTTTTATCAAAGTGGTTCATGTGTTTGAACTCTGTCATCACAACAGGGTCCTGGCACCTGACGCCGTTAGAAATCGCCGGAGGAAGACGATGAACAGTAACACCGATTTTCAAAAATGCCCGGAAAATTAAAATAAAAATTCCGGAAGGTGCGCCTCAACAAGACGCCCGCTAGACCATCTTTCGTTTTTGTTTACAGCCACCCTTGTCACCGAAAAGTCCACCGGAAAAGTGAGATTAGCGAATCTGTTTTTAAAAAATAATCCAAACAAATCTGAAAAATCCAATGACAAATGTGGTTTGAAGGTCATCTTTATGAGACACACCTTCTGGTATTTTTCTTTTAATTTTTCGGGTACTTTTGGAAATCGGAGTTACTATTCATCATCTTTCACAAACGTTTTTTAACGGCGTCAGGCGCCATGACCCTCTTGTGATAACGGAGTTCAAACACATGAACTACTTTGATAAAAAATGAAACACATGACCCTATCTGAAAACGAGCCCAACCATAGGTACCCTTTCCGTACTTTTTCCAAAAATAAATTAATTGAGCTTGAGTCTATCTTCTAATTTCTTCCCAGTTTTCTTTCCTTCGAATCTTCCTCTATGTTTTTTTTAGTATTTATGCGGTCTCTAAACAGACCCTTAATTGTATAATTAGAGATGTACTTTTTTATCCTGCAAGCTCGTCAAATCTAGTCCCCCAATTTTGGGGTATTTTGGAGCAATTATATTCTCTCAATTTTTTTTCGCCCTTTTCTAAATGATTCAATATAGATTGCTATACTTTAAATGATAAAGAAATCATATCAACTATAACATTTTTAATACGTAGTATATTTTTCTAAAATAATAATTCCTCATTATTCCATTAAACCAAACATACACTTCTTTTAAGCTCCCATTGTCCTCCATGCCCTTCTTTTGATCCAAACAAATGGCTCACTGTACTGATTGTTTCGATTAACAATGGATCACAGGTCCGAGCCAAAGTTGTTTTTTCTGGATACCAGAAGGTTCCACGTTCCCAAATCCCTTCTGCTGGGAAGGCACCAAGAAGTGACAATGGATTGTGGACAAAATCTGCACGATTTTCTCATGTTGATGGTCAACTGCCTGTTAGATTACTGGCTGATTCTGACAGCTTATTTATCTCTTGTCTTGGACTTGCCATTCATTATAAGATAAGTTTGCCCGGTTCACCTCCCTGTTCCTTTTCCTACATGGCCTTTCTTGACAGGTCAGCGGTAAGTGGTTCATCCAGAAATGATCAGAAACTTCGAAGGAGCTTCAGTAACCAATATAATTCTTCATCTCTATCTATTCCTTTGCTCGATAACTCTCCTAAACCCCCTGTTATGTTTGAAGATATACCCGTTTTAAGCCTATCTGAGACAGGGTGTGAGGATAATCAGATCAATAACTTGCCATCTCCACTAAACATGAGAGATTTGGAAGCAAACCGTGAGCATGGGATAGTTTTAGTACATGGATTTGGAGGTGGGGTCTTTTCGTGGAGAAATGTGATGGTCATGCTAGCTCAACAAGTGGGTTGTACTGTGGTTGCTTTTGATAGACCGGGTTGGGGGTTGACATCAAGGCCCTGCCGTAGAGTCTGGGAGGAAAAACAATTGCCTAATCCATACAAGATTGATTCCCAGGTAAAATTTATTGCTTTTTATATGTATTCTGGATTTCTGGCATGTTTTGTTGGAAAAAAAATCATTTCAAGCCCTTGAACTTTGTCTATAACCCCTTTTAGCCTTATTAAGCGCCTGAATGGCCTCAACATTACCAATAGAACACTCTAGAAGAGTCTTTTTTATGTATCTTAGTCTTACTTTTCGATAGCATTTGAAATCAAAAGTTGTTTGACTGCCACACATTTGATCCACTTTAGAAATGTGTAAGGTCTCATAATTCTTCAATCATTCAACAGAGGAGCCTAGTAACTCTCGGTAAAGTAAGGTTTGTCACGATGATTTAAGCTTGGTTGGGTATCGACACATGTATTGCAACAAATTATTATATGAAGATACTAGAGAAGGGCTATATGAGGCTTAAGTTTGCCACTGATGTGCCGAATAGGCCCTATTGGAAGCTGGGGAGCTTAGTATTGTGATTATTGTCTCTTACCTCACCCACCGTGGATTTCTAGTTGTTCATTATATTTATGATTTTTGAGGTTTTGATTAGATACCTGCGGTGTTTATGTTTCAGGTAGATCTGCTTCTTTCTTTCTGTCTCGAAATGGGGTTCTCCTCTGTTATACTGGTTGGCCATGATGATGGAGGGTTGCTAGCACTAAAGGCTGCTCAAAGAGTCCAGTCATCCATGGGCTCAATTAATGTGAGCTACCACCCTTGTTGCTTTTAGGTTATATAATTACTCAATAGATTTTGTTGAAAATGTTCGTAAAATGAGAAGTGTTGTTGAGATTTTTTGCGAGACTTGTTGAGTATCTTATTGAAATGAATTTAAAAGCGATTCAACAATAAAAGATATCTTATTTTCCTCGACTCCACCTCCCACTATTTCAAATTTAATTATTTTATTGGATTGCCGGCATATAAGTTACTGAATTATTTACTTCGCTACACCCTTGATCAGGTTGTAGTCATATCAACAAATTATGCTCATCTATATGAATGGATTCTTAGGCATTTATTATGCATATAGGTTATCATCAAGGGGGTGGTATTACTGAGTGTGAGCTTGACAAGAGAACTGGTCCCTGGCTTTGCAAGAATTTTGTTGCGCACGTCGCTTGGGAAAAAGCACTTAGTCGGGCCTCTTTTGCGAACTGAAATAACTCAAGTGGTTAATAGACGTGCGTGGTATGATGCTACTAAGCTCACCACGGAAGTCCTAAGTCTTTACAAGGTATGTTTTCCATGTGCTTCTTTAATGGTTAGAATAACATGTGTTAATCTCATATTTATTTTTTTATTAATTTATTTATTAATTAATTTATTTATTCATGAAGAGGCAACACAAAATTTGGAAAACAATTTCATTTGATCACAGAATGAAGATATGTGTTATGGTTGTATCCACTTGACTTCTATTTCTTTTGATTTGAACTTGGTGAGGTTTATTTAGCCCGAAGGTTCATGATAGGACCAGACGAGATCAAAGAGGAATAGAGAAAGAGGGTTGAGAAATTCACAGAATCTGAATTAATTTCCCAAATGTTTCAGTCCGTGTGGAGAGGACAAGGCTCCTTACAATATGATACTGTTTATATATTCTTAACTATCTAGTACGTAGCTAACAGGAAGTATTTATAATAACTATAAAGCAATAGAGTAGTGGGTTACAGGTTATGCCCATAACCACCTCCACTAATGACTGAAAAATAGCCACAATGTCAACTGCTTCCCAGGAGTAGTTTCTTCCTGTGGGAATAAGTCTTCAGTGGTCTATCAGTACTCCCCCCTGAAAAGTCACCTTGTCCTCAAGGTGGAAAGAAGGGAACTGCCCGGTGAGTAAGTCATAGTCTTCCCACGTTGCTTCTTCAAGAGGCCGGCCTGCCCATTGCACCAACGACTCTAAATTAGAACCAGAAACCCATCTGTGAGAGAGCACCTTTTCCGGCTGTAACACATACTCCCAGTCAGTAGATATAGGAAGGGCTGCGGGTGGAACCGGAGGGGACTGCCCATACGCGGGGCGTAGCAAAGATACATGAAAGATGGGATGGATTTTGCAATCTTCAGGTAGAGCCAATTCGTAAGCAACTGGACCAACGCGGCGAACAACCAAATATGGTCCAAAGAAACGAGGGGACAGTTTTTCAAACCGTCGCTTGGACAAAGAACGTTGACGAAAAGGTTGAATCCGGAGGAAGACAGCATCTCCTACCTCAAAAGATAGCTCCCGTCGTTTAGAGTCAGCTTGAGCCTTCATCCGGCATTGAGCTTTTTGGAGATTTTCCCGAAGGAGTTTTAGCATAGCATCACGAGACAGTAGTTGTTCCTCTAGATCAGCATTGTTTGTTTCTCCTAGCACAAAAGGGTGTAGAACAGGCGGGTCCCGGCCATAGAGTATTTTGAATGGAGTGGTTCCTGTGGAAGATTGAAAACCAGTGTTAAAAGAGTACTCAGCCCATGCCAGATACTTGCTCCAGGAGGAGGGCCGCTCGTGAGCAAAGCAGCGCAGGTAGGACTCAAGAGTGCGATTCACCACCTCCGTTTGCTCGTCAGATTGGGGGTGGTAAGCTGTACCCATGCGTAACCGGGTCCGACTAAGTCGAAACAATTCCTGCCAAAAATGACTCAGAAAAACAGGATCTCTGTCAGAGATAATAGAGCGTGGAAGCCCATGTAGACGTACAATTTCCTTGCAAAAAGAGGTAGCCACAGATTTAGCTGTAAATGGATGAGACAATGGCACAAAGTGGCAATATTTGCTGAATCTGTCCACCACTACTAGAATTGTGTCAAAAACCCCTGATTTTGGTAACCCAGTGAGTGATATGTCCTCCCAAACACGATCTGGAAGTGGGATCGGCTGGAGTAGACCTGCTGGTGCCAGCGTCTCATACTTATTTCGTTGACATACCAAACAGTTCTGAACATAGTGTTTGACATCTTGCTTCAAATTGGGCCAGAAAAAACTCTCAGATGCACACGCTTCAATGTTTTCAGGAAACCACCATGTCCACCAGTGAGGGTATCATGGCACTCGGCTAGAATTTTCTGGCGAAGTGATGACGTTCCCGGGATTACCAACCGCCCCTTGTAGAATAGTCTCCCTTCCACTAAGGAATAATCAGGGCAAATAGTAGGATCCTGTTGCATTGATGAGATAATATCTTTAGTAGCCGGATCTTGCAGCAGTTCATCACGTAGAGTCATCAAGTCCATGTTCACGGGTAATGCCAGAGTAAGCAATTCAGCATGGTGTGCTTTCCGTGACAAGGCATCCGCTCCCCGGTTGTCCTTCCCCTTCTTATAGATGATAGTGAAATTGAAGGGAAGCAGCTTTATGAGCAGACGCTGTTGGGAATCCGATGTCAGACGTTGATCCAACAAAAAAATCTTAAGACTGCAGTGATCAGTTTTGACAAAGAAATGTCGACCAAGCAAATAATGCTTCCATTTCTGTAAGGCTAAAACAACAGCAAGTAATTCCCATTCATAGGTGGACTTCAAACGATTAGAAGAAGAAAATCCCTTACTAAAATAAGAGATCGGGTGATCTGACTGGAGCAGAATAGCTCCAACCCCTGCGGTTGATGCATCACATTCCACTGTAAAGGGCAAGGTGAAGTCAGGTAACTTCAAAACAGGAGCAGAAGTTAATGCCATTTTTAAGCTCTGAAATGCTCTCTGCCATTGGACTCCAAAGGAAAGCATTTTTTTTTGTAAGTTCAGTGAGTGGCCTGGCAAGTATCCCATAATCTTTGACAAAGCGGCGGTAGTATCCTGTCCAATGTTTAAAAAGGCGGGTTCGGGTTTCAAGGCGGTTTGTTCCTAAGAGGCGAGGCGTAAGCCTTGAGGCGTATTGAGGCGTAAGCCTCAAAAAATACAAACATATAAAACTTGATATAATTAAACTAGTAACAAACAACTCAAGAAGTAAAGGATATCCATAATTATAAGTCCAAAAAGTGTGAGACACAAATACATGTGACCTATTACCGGTAAGTCGCTAGGCTTCAAACACACAAAAAGAAATATCTCACAAAAACAGACACATCACAGTCTCACAAACACACAGAAACATCACACACAAATTGCATCACAAACAACCAGACACATAACACAATTGACATAGTTTATAAATCTTGAAGGCTTGCAGCTTAATCATCATGACAGGAACGCTCTTCGGAAGAATCATCATATCTTATGGCGTTATCACCATCATCCCTTCCATCATCACTATCAAAATCATCCCATTCTCCCTCCTCCTCCTCTTCTTCTTCATCTTCATCATCATCATCATCATTTGCCTCCACTACTTGTTTATTTTTCTTATTGTTTCCTTGTTTACCCATCTGCTTGCTTGAACTTTCTTTTGTTTGGGCTTGCTGTGATGGTTGACCTCCAAAAAGATCAACATCAAGGACATTAAGGTCATCCCTAAATGTCTCTGGTTCCACACCATTTTCACTGACCAGCCATTCATCATCAGATGGCAAGTCATCAACCAACAGATTTTCCTCTTCATTGGTTAGGGATCTCAGTTTAAGGTGCCGATCTTTAAGTCTTTTGTTGAACATTATATACACCAAAGAGTTCATCCTAACTGTTGTCAAGCGATTTCTTCTCTTGGTGTGTACTTGATTGAAAGTAATCCAATTTCTCTCACAACCGGATGATGAACAAGTAAGACCTAACACTTTTATTGCAAATTTTTGAAGCTCAGGAGTGCCATCTCCATATTGAATCCACCATTCAACTGAAAAGAAGAAAACGTTTCTTGAACTATAAAGCTTAAGTGTCCAGAAACATATTATAGGCAGAAAGGTCAATTGTCAATTGAAAATTACAATTAAATAGATTATGAAAACATTACTATTAATTGTTTATACTTATGTATACAAGTAATAATTACTATTAAATATCTTTCAATTGTTGGTATATTTTAAAGTATTACTCCTCCAATAGTCCAATATGCCTAGCAAATTGTTTAATATTTTTGCTTTTAAGGATGTATTTAATTGGGGTGATTTTTTGTCTGGACTAATTTGATTCTAGTGAGGTCTGATCTGTTTTGTTTAAGTTTAGTTTGTTCTGTTTAAGTCTGGTTTGATTTCAAATATGTCTAGTTTGGTATGGTCTGGTCTGACACTTAGATCAATCCAATTAAAATGATCCTAGATTATCAATGGCTATATATATATATTGTGTCTAGTGTGGGGTTTTTAAACTATCTTGTTAATTAGTCATTTAGTTTATAACTGATATATATATATATATATATATATATATATATATATATATATATATATATATATATGGAAAATGAGAAGTAATCTTAGCCGTTAAAATGAGAAAATGAATGAATCAGATCAATTTTAAAGTGGAAAATTTGGTGCCAATATTGTAACATTAAAAAATTCGGTGTCAATAGTGTAAATGATAAATGTGCATGACTATGGAGAAAAAGTGCATTGGAGTAACACAAAAGTGCATCATTTTTCGGGGTGGAAAGAAACAAGTATAGAAATCGTTTGTGTTATTTTTTTAGAAGGTGAATATGCACTCTTAGATATGGTATATGCACTTTTACTATTATCTATTACACATTTTGGTTTACCGTGAGTTTTGATCCACTCCATTCATTTTGAAGTGATCAAGGGCTTAGATCACTTCTCACTTTACATTGGAAGACCCCTTTGTATTAGAACTCACCCCTATAAATCATGAACTTTTAACCATTAAATCATAACTTATAGACTCCTCGAAATAATTACGAACATGCCACCGCAAAAAATAAGTTTGGAGACCTTGGAAATTTTTGGACGCGGTGGCATTTTCGTAATTACGATGGAGAGCTTTAAAAGTTACGATTTATTAATTATAAGTTACCATATTCACTATAAGTTTACTGTGTTGCAAGATCACATTGCAAATCAAACGGCTAAAATTACTTCTCACTTCTCATTTTAAGGGGCACTTCTCACCTGATCTTCTCTCTATATATATATTGACACGACCTTGAATGTCATATTGGTTAATAAAAAAAATTATATTTATATACGCTATGTCCCCTGGAGTAATATATATGCGCTATGTACTTTTGGGATTGAGTCCTGTGACTAATTTTTGTTGTTTAGTATAGCTACTATTTGAACAAGTTTTTTGTTTATCTTGGGACTGATTTTGGTGTTCATTAAGCTTTAATGGTTTAAGGTGTTTTTGTGATTTTATCCAATGGAGTAAAAAACTCACTATTTTTGGCTTGGGAAAATGATAGATTAAAGCAACATGGCTCACTAAATTGTCTGCGCAGCAATCAATCTATGCAATTTTCAGCGCGATTTTCATCCTGGGTTATCCGGAAACGGTCTCTCTTTGCTTTAGTTCAGGGATAACGCTCTTTATATCCGACCTCCCTTACCCCATTGTAGGTGGGAGCATTTGCGGTACTGGAGTGATGTTGTTGTATCATTTTTTGGGAAGAGAGCTTCATGTAGAAGTAGTATAAATATAGTTTACGAAAGTTTTTGGGAAAGCTTCTTAAGGTGCGTGCCTTCGCCTCACGCCTTATGTAAATTGAGCCAAAACAGCTAAGGGCCCTTGTTCGCTGGTTCCTTTGTTGTGCTAGACAGGTAAGTGAGAAAGTCGTTCGGTATGTTTGACGGCTGAGATGGCAAGGGGCGGACGGGAGCTTAAGTGTAGTTGGGGCACGTGCCCCCAATAAACTCTCAACAATTAGTTAAAACAATTTATATTTAACAAATACTACCTCTGATCCCAAATAAACTTCACACTTTCCTTTTTGGGTAGGTCCAAAATATAATTCACACTTCTACTTTAAATATAAAGTTACTTTTGTACCCTTAGTTTGTTACCTACTTTACACCCACTTTCTATATCTCTCACTGCATCAAATCTACTTTTTGTAGGGGTATAAACCCTGTTTGGTAACCCTGCTTTTCGGCTTATCAGGCTTATCAACTAGCTTTTTCTTCAAACACGTAATTTTTGATTTCGCGCGCTGAATTGTGTAATAATAATAAGGCTAAAGGGTCAAATAGGTCCTTGTACCCTTTCGGATTGCTCAATTTGCCCTCTCAACCCAAAAAAGCTCCAATTGACACCCTGAACTCGATAAAAATATTCAAATTTCACTTTTTGCAGGTTTCAATCCGGTCACCGCCACGTCACCCCGGTAGGGTGCCAATTTAGGGGGTCAAATAAGCCCCTGAACCCGATCGAATCGTTCAATTTACCCCCCTCAACCCTAAAAAATGTCAAAAAATTTTAAGGGTTGAGGGGGTAATTTGAGCATTTCAGTCAGGTTCAGGGGCTTGTTTGACCCCCTAAGTTGCCATGTCACATGCACAGCTGGCACCCTACCGGGTGATGTGGCTGTGACCGGTTTGTGACCTGCAAAAAGTAAAATTTGAATCTTTTTAGGGAGTTCAGGGTGCCAATTGGAGCTTTTTCGAGTTCGGGGGGCAAATTGAACAATCCGGAAAGGTACATGGGCCTATTTGACCCTTTAGTAAGGTTGAAGTTGTTTTTCTGGTTGTATTGGCTGAAGTTACTGTAGAGGACCAGTTTAGCTATTTTTCATGTATTTTTTTCTTTATTTTATTAGTAAAATATGTTTTAAATGTAATGAATCATAAATCAACAGAATCAGCAAATTCAGCCACTTCAGCCAGAACTTCATAAATTTCAGCAGAATCAGTCAATACAACCGATTTGGGTATTACCAAACGGGCTCATAATGTGAAAGTCAAGAAAAAATTCACTTTCTTAAAAATCATAAAGTCAAAGTGTGAAGTTTGTTTGGGATTGGAAGGAGTAATTTTGAGTGTGCCCCCATCAAAAAAAATGGACGCCCCCAACAATTTGTTCTAACTTCTAACACGACGTTTTCTTTTCTATTTGAATTTACGACACATTCTAGAGCCAAACTTTTAAAATTATACTTTTATTCTAAAGGCTAAGCAAATAAGCAATATAAATACCACCACTTAAGAAGCAATATTTTACCCTACTAAGAATTTGACATCCAAAAGTGATTATATACAAAATAAAAATTTAAACTATTTGAAGTAAACTTTGTACAAGAATAACACATCATATAAGGTTCTACATCTATTTCTCAATATTTTTTCAAATATCATTTTTATGTCTCATTAAATTTGTATCAAACAATATTTTGATAATATTTATGTGGTTTAAAATCATTTATAATACTTCCCCTGTCCTTTAAAATTTTGGCAACTTTCCTTTTTTGGTTGTCCCACTAACTTTGCCACTTTCCCTATTAAGTAAAGAATTTTTGGTTCCATTTAATTCTCTTTCCTTTGTACAATCCTCAACCACATAGTTTTTACTTTATTAATCCTCGTGCCGGTCAAACTTGACCAAGTTTTAGAATGTTTTTACTTGGAATGGAATTTTTTTTATCTGATCTGGTTTGAACTGGTTTGGTATGGTAAATATCCGGTCTCTGTGTATTTTATAATAATCTGGTCTAATCTGGTCAGGTCTGGTTTGGGACCAAAAACAGTTGAAGTAAAAATCACATTATCTCACTTTCTTTAGGGTGTGCCTCATAGACTCAATACCCAAAAATATTGAAATGAAAATAATATCATTCAGAAATTAGGAATTTTATTTTATTACATCGCAGATGCATAAACCAAAACAAATTCAAAACCTGATTTACTCAGGTCAGTCGAGGTGTTCCGCTCTATTGTTTCCTAATAGATTTATCTGATTGAGGTGCCCCCAACAGTTACACTTTCTGGATGCACCACTGGAGATGGCTCCTTGGTTTATAAGAGAGTTCAGTCCTCTTGTGAATGCTTTTGAAGCAAGAGGGAAAAGATGGGACATATTTTATCTTATCTTTAACTTATCTTTTTTATCTTTTTTTTTTTCTTTTTATCTTTTTTGCTCCGATTTCATTTGTCGATTCATGTTATCCCATCCCAACTATTTTGGGACTATGGATTGGATGTTGTTGATTGTGTTACTAAAATAATAGTATACAAATTGGAGTTATGTAAAGAAGCACATTAACTCATAATGTTGTATTCGTTTGCCCCCAATACTTTTTCCCTGGATCTGCCACTATCCTTGTGGACTCACTGTGGGCAACAGACCGACCTCATCAATGACACTGTCCAGTATGTTTGACGTGGTGCCATATCAAACTGGCAGTTGACTTTTAGCCTTTTAGGTCTTTTCTCATGTGACGGGTCATTCCACACAAATGGCAAGCGTCTTCCTCTTCTCTTGGGATGGGCCCATGCTGTTGTTCGGGTGGCCCGCATATTCGGTGTGGCTCCCGTGCTGGGGTGGGTAGCATCCGGCATGACCTGTCATACCGATTTTGGGCCCGGTCCAGGCATGCTCTGCCCAATATCCCAACAGAACCTTTTCCGAGCTAGGTCCCATAGCAATTCTAGCTCATTCCTACTTTTAGTTCTTGACTTTTTGTTTTTACTATTGATGAGCAAATATGGATTTCTTGTCACTTTTGGTCTTGAGTCACTTGCACGTCAAAAATTAATTGGGTATTGTACTGTTGTACTGAAATTGGCATATTAAGTTGGTCAAAATGATCAATGGTGGTAAGGAAATCAGTCAGGCACCAAAGTTGTAAAAAAACGTTGGGGAAATAAATTACACTCCCTGCATATTGAAATGTTTGCTACACTTTTCATTTTTTGATGTATTTTACTTTTTGCTCACTTTCCCTTTAAAATACTCAATTACCTTGACTTTTTCTACTTTTTATTTCTCTTTCATACTTTTCTACCATCTCTTCTACTTTTTCTTTCTACCCTATTGTAGCAAACATTTCAATATGGAGGGAGTAGGTCTGTTGCTACTTTTGGTCCTTTCTGGTCACTTACATTTAAAAAGTAAACCAGTGATATGGCGGAGGTTGACTGGTTAAGTGTATAGAAGGATCAATAGTGGCATTGAGTCTAGTGGTGGACCAAAAGTTCGAATGGCCTAATATTTGGGGGACCGGAAGTGGACAGTTTTAGTGACACACAAGTATTTCAACATTGTCCTTGTCCTCTCAGTGGTTATATAATTTTTTTGTTTTTTTTGTTTCATTAATTAGGCCCCGCTATTTGTAGAAGGTTGGGATGAAGCACTCCACGAGATAGGGAAATTATCATTTGAGACAGTTCTCTCCCCTGGCAATGCAATTTCTGTGCTAAAAGCGGTTGAAAACATACCAGTACTGGTAGTTGCAGGTGCAGAAGATGCACTTGTACCATTAAAATCTGTTCAAATAATGGCATCAAAATTTGTAAATTCAGTAAGTCTTCGTTTAATCCTTATTGCCCATTAGCCACAAAGTCCACTTTGCACTTTGCTTACAAATGAGTAGCCATTTAGTAATTAATAAGCAATCCAATAAAGTCAAAAATAGTAAAACGCATAAGTGGTCTTCACGTATTTATTTCACTTTTATGGGAGTCTGTTTGCTCATCTATCTATGACAACGTTAATGATCGCACTAAGAATCACAATTGTCCTTGGTTAGTGTCTTGAATATAATGTTTTGGAGGCTTTTGAACTTTTTAGGTGATAGGATTTGGAGGGTTTAGTCGATGTGACCGTGTAACGTTTCAATAACTTTTTATTCATTTTAGCTTATGCATGTTCATTAGTTCAAATGTATCATTTATGTGAATGTGTTTTGTTGACGATATACATTGCAGAGACTAGTGGCAATATCTGGTTGTGGACATCTTCCTCATGAGGAATGTCCCAAGGCTTTGCTTGCAGCTATGTCACCGTTCATAAGTAAAATATTAGGGGAACCAGAATCTTAACACGCACTACTGTTAGTGCAACTCTGATCCTCTTCAAGTTATGTTTCTCTATTGTTTGGGAAAAGGCAGAGTTTGTTGATTTGAGCTCCTGTTGCCCTTTAGTTTTTGTATTTATGATTTATCCAAATCTTCAGTTCACTTGAAGAGGCAGAGTCCCAAGTTTCGTCTCTCCTTTTGGGCAAATTTTTGATGATGATTAATATTAGGGCATTTTGATGATTTTATTTGTTTATTTGTTTGTTTAATACTATGTAGGTAATGTTTGTTTTGTTCAAACAAACACGTTCTATTGTTTGTCCAAGTGTAAATGGACAATGAAGATGTCGTTGTTTGAGCATATCGTGTTGTAAATAGTGCTTCCTTCACTTATTTGTTTCATCCTCTCTCTTTCTCTCTCTCGTTGTCGGGGCTTACGCTCCCATAATCCTGGAGTATATGAACTACCCTCCAAAGCCTCTAGACAGTTAAGTCCGGATCTGATCACAGCCAGCCTCAGTACTGGTTCCAAAGGACGAATCCAGCAAGACTTACATCACCTTTCAGGCTGCTCCTCCCACCACACGAACCCGCTACCTTCATTACCATCCTCTCTCTTCTCAGCCGCTGAGCAACTCCGTGAAGGTAGGAAGAATCATTGGGAGCAAGACCTCCATCCTCTCCCCTAAATATGCCTAGCGGGATTCGAACCCGAGACCTCCGCTAGGACACGGTAACCTTCCACCCAGTGAGCTGGAATGGTTGGTTCTCTCTCTCCGTTTAATTACATAACAACTTCCCCTATCAATAAGTTGGTGTGTCACTTCGCTAAATTTACACCCCTCCCCTAATTTCTCTCAATTTCATGTTAAGACAAGTCATTGGGGTGGACCTGGTCGGCGGTCCTGGACCCGCTACTGGGCGGGACTGGGCCGGGTACCCGACCGGGTAGTAGACGAGCTCGGTCTCGGGTAGATGATTTGGAACCGGTCTGGACAGTCCCGGACCCGGTTCCAGTCCCAACTTAGGGGCTGGAGTTAGGGCTTGGGGGGCTAGTCGTTTGGAACGGCTAGTAATGGCTCTTTGGCCGTGCGGTAGGGGCTTGGGCTGGGGGGAGTGTAACACCGTCCCCAAGTATATTTACTTTTAGTAAACCATGTAATGAACCTTGAATAATGATTTATGAAATTACGAGGTTGTAAAATTTTTGTTACTACTTTTGCGTGAATAGTGAATTGCACACGGGACAACCCGATAATCCCGGGACCACATATTATATTCATCTTGGTCTAAATAATATTTATATTGTGGTATATATTTTAGTTGGGCCATAGAAAAGGTTTAGGGTTGATCCGTCGGTCAAACGAAGCCCAATAATCGGTATTGGTAATTTACCGGATAACAGTCCAAATTTCGGAGACTTCTAAAGATCCATAGTGATTGAAATCACACGATATATTTTATTTGGCCTGATAAAATAAAATATAATTATAACAATCCGAAAAATACAACTTTCGGCACCGATTGTACATTTCGGGACACAAAGGGATGACCTCCCACATGAGTGGGGGCCACCCCACGTTTTTTTGTTCTCAAGTTAATGAGAGGGGGCTAGTTTGGCAAGGGAGGGAGCTGAAAAGATGCTATTGGCATCTAAGGTACATAGATGACTCCTTTCCCATCACTTATTTGCCAATTAAGACAAAAAGTGAACATCCCCCTCTCCCATCATCATTATTTCGGCCAAGCTACCCAAGGAAGAGGAAGAAGCTCTCCCACTTTTTCTCCATTGTTGAATTCGAGCTCAAGCAAGGTTGGTCAAAAGAGGAAGTTTGAAGAAGGAAAACGTTAGGAAAAGTGTGAAATATTAAGGTAATAAGCTTGTAATAACTTTTCCTCTACTTTTCATTTATCATATGGCTTATATAGCATATGAAGGACCCCTAGGGTTGTTCTACATGTATAGAGGTGTAGAACAAGGGGTTGAAAGGTAGTTCTAAGTCCAAGAACGGACTTAGAAGCCAGAACGACCGGTTCGCCGGAAAATAACCTTTGAGAGGTTATTTGTATTGATATGAGTTTTGTGATGATAAAACCATGTTAGGAGCTTAAATAGATTGTTTCTAGAGTTCGTCGGAGTTTCGCCGGAATTCAACCAAGGAGCGTAGAACACGCTAAAGCTCATTTAAGGTGAGTGGACGGCTTAATATCTTATAACTTTTGGGTTAGTTATGAGATTACCTAAATAAATGTTATATGTGTTCATAATTATGTTTAAAGGGTATTTAAACATGTGATTAGCCAACATGGTTAAATTTGTATGAAAGGAATTAATTGTTTATGAATGAAATATGTTATGAGGAATTATATAAAATGCATGTTTGCTTGAAGCGTAAGAGGAGCACAAATGAACATTATTAACTTAATTATATGATGATTAAGTTGATACGTATAAGGTTTGAAATGGCGGTCAACGAAAACGTTGACCGATGGATAATGGATTATATGATACCGGATGGTATTAATTAATTATGAATTTATATAAACGCATGACTTTGCATGGATTGTGATACATAAGCTTTATGTATTGATTTATCTATGAATGAATAAATATGATATAGATCCTATCTAGGTTGATAGGAGGTTGATCATAGGATTATAAATTTGTGGAGGACCCTAGGACTTAAAGTCCTCAACACTCATATTTTGGTGGAGGACCCTAGGACTTAAAAGTCCTTAACACTCATATTTTGGTGGAGGACCCTAGGATTTAAAAGTCCTTAACACTCATATTTTGGTGGATGACCCTAGGACTTAAATTTTTTTAACACTCGGATTATAAATCGGTGGAGGACCCTAGGGCTTAAAGTCCTTAACACTCGGATAATAAATTGGTGGAGGACCCTAGGACTAAAAGTCCTTAACACTCAAATAAAAATTTGGTGGAGTACCCAAGGATTTTGATCCTCAAAACTCATAGATTATGATGTTGAAGTATGGACAAGGAGGAGTCCTATACACTCATAGGCATATGAGTGGGTTGGGGTTTTTAGTCAAGGATATTGACTATGAATATTTTCCCAAATAAAACGGTGATCTACGGATCAGGTATTTTCCAAGTGTATATGTACAACTAAGTATTTCTTAACTTGGGGGAAAAGACTATTTACATAAGTATCACCCTATGTTTGGGTCTTATACTTGAAAGGCTAGTTATTCTATATTTAGCCTGCTACTCGCTCGGTACTTGTACTGACCCCTTCGGGGGGCCCCACCATTTCAGGTTGAAGTTAAGGCTTGTCATCTACACCTTTGCATGGGTGAAGAGAATCCAGATGAAGACGTGGTTCGTGCTCCCTCTACTATTTCAAAAAATAAACTATGCTCATGGATACATTTGTATTAATACATTGTTTTGGCCTGCAAGCCTACGTTTTGGCCATGTGTGGCCAACGATTAATTGTTGAATATTTCCGCGATTCAATTAATCTAAACTGTGATGTTGTTGTGTATGTTTATTACTGAGTATGGATATATTATGTTCATGGACGCCTTGTATGATTAAGACACGTTGACAATTAAGTGGTATCAGAGCCATCTCAGTTCTAAACTATGTAATCAACCTCTCACGAGAGATTTTACAAAAAGGAATTTTTACCGAAAACCATGAGCATTGTATTTTGACGTTCATAGAACTATTGTTACCTAGGTTGCAAGGTCTCTAATTGTTAAGATGGTACCCTTAACAATTGGTATGGCGGTGACTTGGGCCAATACGTGTCTATAACGTTCTTCCGTCAATTGACATTGATAGGAGTCTAACGACTCGTCCAAATCTTATTTCAGAAATGAAGGGTAGGCGAATGGCAACGAGGAACAATCCGAGGGGGCAGGCACCGGTAACATCCATGAGGGGTAGCCTGTATCTCGGGGGAGAAGAGGAGGCCGAGTAGGCCGTGGGGGCCACCGGGCCCAAACAGTGAGCGACGGCCACATAAGCTCGGTGTTTGAAACTAACACTGAGGACTATGACTCGACTTTTGTTCCCGGCACGGAGCATGAGGAGAACCCTTATGACGGGGGTGACTTCCACACTAACGAGGAAGACAACGATGAGAGTGATGTCCGATTCGCTCAAATGGACGCATTGCTCATTTGCTTGAGTGGTATCAAAAAGAGAAACCAAGGAGAGACCTTAGACACCAAGCAAGGCACGGCTCTCGTGGTGGTTCGGTTCAAGGAAGCCAGGGAGCTTCAAGGGCCACTCCAGCGGCGTCACAAGGTGGGCGTGAAAGAGGGTTTTGTGTGAGAATCTCCAAGTACCTCAAGGAGGCTAGGGCCTTGGGGTGTAAATCCTTCGACGTCACTGGTGACATTACCGTTGCCGCCGATTGGATCAAGAAAGTGAAGGATGCATCAAGGGATATGTAGGTCACACTCGATGTGAAGTTGACTGTTGCTTCACGTTTGCTTGAAGGAATCGCTTCTACATGGTGGGAGAGTGTAGAAGGAAAGTACCGGGGGGCCATCACATGGGCGAACTTCGAGCAGGAGTTCTACGCCCAATACTACTCCGATTACGAGGTTAATGTCAAGCGTAGGAAGTACACCAACCTTAAACAGGAGGGTGGTTCTGTCAAGCAATTGGAGCAAGATTTTAGAACCTTGGCTAGGTTCTTACCGGAATACGCGGTCGATGAGGACCGCATGTCGGAACACTTTTGGGACGCTTTACTCCTGGACATCCATGACCGAGCTACGTACTCTCGTCATATGACGTTTAGCGAGGTGGTGGAACAGGGCCTACTTGGGGAGGCTCAGTGGAATGAGAGGAAAGAAAGAGATGCCGAAGAGGCGAAAAAAAGAAAGTGGCATAGTTCAGGGCTGCCCGAGCAATCACGAAAGAATAACCACGGTGTAGGTAGTGGTTCGTTCAAGATGCCGGCACCACCGGCAAAGAAGAACAGGGATGCACGGTGGCACTCATCCTACTCTCGAAATACAGGACCTCCTAGGTGTGCCAACTGTTCGAAGAATCACTTTGGGAAGTGTCACGCACCCCCGAGGTGTTATCAGTGTGGGAACACAGGCCACATGAAGGCTTATTGCCCACAATTGGGAGGAGGAGCTCCCGGGTCCGGAGGAGGAGCTTTGACGAGTAGAAACCGTGCAGGGCCGTCAAACGGCGGCACGGGAAGAGGCGGTGCATCAACGAGCCATGCCGCGTCCGTTAACCAAGGCAGGGCCCAAGCAAGGGTCTACGCGATGACTGAGGCCGATGCTCGGGCCAACCCCGACTCCGTTGCAGGTAATCCCTTGCTAATACTTGATAAAATACGTGTATTAATGTGTTAGAA